AGCTGATGATGGATAGAAGGAAGGAAGGAAGGAAGGAAGGAAGGAAGGAAGGAAGGAAGGAAGGAGCTGATGATGGATAGAAGGAAGGAAGGAAGGAAGGAAGGAGTTGATGGTGAATAGAAGGAAGGAAGGAAGGAAGGAAGGAAGGAAGGAAGGAAGGAAGGAAGGAAGGAAGGAAGGAGTTGATGAACAGAAGGAAGGAAGGGGGGATGGAGAGGGACTGAGAGGGAAAAAGAAGCCCCTTGATACACCAGGGTGGCTCCAGAGCAAGGATGGTTCACCAACTCCTTTATGTGCTGAAGAGCCCAGCTCTCCCCTCTCTCCCCAAAAAATGTCACCAAGAAGCTCCAGCAGCCACTGAGGGGAAGAGATGAACTGGGTTTCACCAAGCGCAAAGTCAGCGTCTCCATCATATGGACCATGTTCCTCTCGTGTGCCTGCTTTCTCCACGGGTTTCTCCGTGAGTTCCTGCACCTCTTGGGAACCCTGTGCCTTGGGACTGTTGGTGTGTCTGTTGTGCTGCTCTCAACCAGAGGCAGGAGTTTGGAGCCAGGGCACGTCCNCACACACACACACACACACAGAGCAACCAAATCCAGTTGACCAGAAAAACCCTCCCCATCCATGCATCCCTTCGGCCCCACGGACACAGCTGACGTTTGCCTTTCCCACGGGGCTCTTTCGTTCTCGTGGAGCTTGGCCCTTCTGCCCAGGCCCCTGGCCGCTTCTCCTTGAGCGAGAAGACCTCATGCCGCAGGAAGAAGGAGGCCCATAAGCCCGACTCCTAGGCTGCCTTCCCAAAGGGAGGGGGTTGATTTGTGGCAGGAGCGCCTGTCACCTCATCAGACCCTGCTCTGCCCAGGGGAAAGGACAGTTACTTTTCCAGATGGCCACTCCAGGGCTGGCCGGAATATTCTGGGAACTGTGGTATGAAAAAGAGAAGACTTTCCCCGGCTCCCCTCCCAACACATGGACCGCCAGCCTCTGCTTCCAGGCCTGCCAGGAAGGTCTTCTACCTCCCCCCCCCGGCCCTGGGTTCCCCTGCGCATGCACGCACACACACACGCATGCACACAGATGGTCCCATCAGCCTCGGTTCTCCCTCGCCCACCGTCTACTTACTGAGTTCCCACAGCTGCTGGCCAGAAGGACGGGGGCACTTTGTGTGTTCCAGAAGGGCCCCCACCTGCTTCTGATTCAAGGTGGATGGACAGACTTCTGTCTAGCATCCGGAAAAGGACGCCCCCCGCTGCCACACCTGGACCCAACGGGGCTCCCTTTATGTGGGAAGGGACATGAACCGCTCAGAGGATATTCTGCTGAGCAAATGGCTGTTTCCCCCCCTTTACTGAACCCGCAGGGCTGCTCTCTCTCTCTCTCTCTCTCTCTCTCTCTCTCTCTCTCAAGCGCTGTTTATTGAGCAGACGGTTTATCATCTCCCATGATTTATGACCAGTGAGCAACTGTGTTTTATGGTGAGGATGGGAACAGGAAGACAAATAGAATCTTGGAAGGAAAGCACATTGCGCTGTTTGCCAAGAGAACCTCCACGGAGGAAGAGTCCCCGGCCACCCGCCCAAGAGCGATGAAGCCAGAAAGCATTTTAATTAAGGTACACCTTTAGAACCGGCTGTGCGGCACTGTTTGACTACCCAGAAACTGGCCTCAAAGCCTTTCCAAGTTCAGCCACAGCTGTGCCAGATCTCTGAGATACACACCACCTTTCCCCCCCCGCCCCCAGCAGAAGCACCCAAATAACATGCTGGGGCAGCTCGGCAGGGGCTGTGGCACCAATGGGCTCCCTCGGCACCGAGGGCTTTCTTTCATGACGTCCCAGAAGACTGAGGGGTGCCACGTTCCTTCAGACCAACTTCCCCTACTCCCTCACAGTCAGAGGCCCCAAAGAGCTGTTAGAGGCCGGCGGGTAGAGCCCTCTGACTGAATGTCTTCTCTCCAAGTCAGCAGGATTTCCTCAGCAGTAACTTTTGGGAAACCCGGGCTAAATGTGAGAGCCAGGCGACTTGGAAGTCTGATACGTGCTGAGCCACGTATCTCTGAAGAAATCTTCTTCCTCATCTTAGAATGGCAGAGCTGGAAGGGACCTTATGGATCGTCAGGTCCAACTCCCTGCCAAATATAGGCCATGCTATATTTGGAATGTTCAACGGGACTCCTTTCTCCTTCTTCCTCTTCTTCTTCTTCCTCTGCGTCTCCTTCTGCTATGTATAAATGTTTGTCATGATATTTTCTCCTTTTCTTGTCTCTGATAAAGTGGACTTGTTCACCAAAGCTCACATCAAAAAAATATAAAAGTTGGTGTTTATGGTGCCACCACATTTTTGTCTTTCTTTTTTAAAACTTTTTTTTCACCTATAGATTTACTGTGTTTGTGGAAGGGGTGCTCCCTCTGGTGGCAAAAGATATCTGTTTGTCATAGTGCCTTCTTCCCCCCTCCCCCCGACATCTAATGTATTTATTGTGTTTCGTTTTCTGGTTAATCATTGGAAGGAAATAAAAGTGGTAATTCACATGTCTTGTTGCAGATTCCCTTGGTGGATGGAAAATTCTGTTAACTGCAAGAATACATCCATTGTTCTTAGCCTCTAGTTGGCCCCTTGTTGTTCAGTCGCGTAATCGTGTCCGACTCTTCATGACCCCATGGACCAGAGCAGGCCAGGCCCTCCTGTCTTCCGCTGCCTCCCAGAGTTGGGTCAAACTCACATTGGTCGCTTTGATGCCCCTGTCCAACCATCTCGTCCTCCCTCGTCCCCTTCTCCTCTTGCCTTCACACTTTTCCAACATCAGGGTCTTTTCCAGGGAGTCTCTTCTTCTCATGAGATGGCCAAAGTACTGGAGCCTCAGCTTCAGGATCTGTCCTTCCAGTGAGCACTCAGGGTGGATTTCCTTTAGAACTGATAGGTTTGTTCTCCTTGCAGTCCAGGGGACTCTCAAGAGCCTCCTCCAGCACCACAATTCAAAAGCGTCAATTCTTCGGCAGTCAGCCTTCTTGGTGGTCAAGCTCTCACTTCCATACATCACTACTGGAAAAACCATAGCATTGACTCTGCGGACCTTGGAGCATTCTTTGGCGCTACCCTTCTTTGGGATTGGGATGTAGCCTGATCTTTTCCATTCCTCTGGCCACTGTTGGGTTTTCCAAACTTGCTGGCATATTGAATGTAGCACCTTAACAGCCTCATCTTTTCAGATTTTAAATAGTTCCACTGGAATGCCATCACCTCCACTGGCCTTGTTGTTAGCCAAGCCTTCTAAGGCCCACTTGACTTCGCTTTCCAGGATGTCTCCAGGGCAGGCTGGCCCCTGCCGGGCGCTACTCCCCGCTACTTTCAG